TGCACTCAGGACCTCTACCTAAGATGCACTCAGGACCTCTACCTAAGATGCACTCGGGACCTCTACCTAAGATGCACTCGGGACCTCTACCTAAGATGCACTCGGGACCTCTACCTAAGATGCACTCGGGACCTCTACCTAAGATGCACTCGGGACCTCTACCTAAGATGCACTCGGGACCTCTACCTAAGATGCACTCGGGACCTCTACCTAAGATGCACTCGGGACCTCTACCTAAGATGCACTCGGGACCTCTACCTAAGATGCACTCGGGACCTCTACCTAAGATGCACTCGGGACCTCTACCTAAGATGCACTCGGGACCTCTACCTAAGATGCACTCGGGACCTCTACCTAAGATGCACTTGGGACCTCTACCTAAGATCCACTTGGGACCTCTACCTAAGATCCACTCGGGACCTCTACCTAAGATCCACTCGGGACCTCTACCTAAGATCCACTCGGGACCTCTACCTAAGGTCTTCCTCTTTAGGTTCATACAACTCACTTGGGGCAGAGTTTTTTTCCCCTTTTATTTTTATTCTGTGTGTATGAGTGCTTGTCTGTGTGCATGTATGTACCCGATCTGTGTCTCCTAAGAGTTCAGAAGGTGTTAGAAACTGGAGTTACAAATGATGTGAGCCACCATATGGGTGCTGGCAACTGAACCTGGATCTTCTGTGAGAGTAACAAGTGCTCTTAACCGTTGAGATCTCTCCCCAGTCCTGAAGCCAGGATCTTGGGAAACACTATCTAAACTGAGCATAAATAAGTTCTGATTAGAAGCCTAAAAATTCTAAATCTATCCCCTTGGTTCCTTTGTTGTGCTTCCTCTTGCTTGGTTCTTGAGAAAAGATCTTTTTATTTCTTTTAAATGCCAACCTTATCTCAGCTGAGCCAAGACAAGTATATGTTTTTGTTTCTTAGTTTTCATAGCTCCATGTAGAATAGGCAATGAAGACAAAGCCATGGGGCTGAAGTCAAGAGGCTAAGACAAAGACACAGATCTGGCCCTGCAGCTGGGCCCCTGACCTGGTGTGAGGTGAGCAGGGGACAGTCCTGCCAGCTGTATCTACAGCATCATGTTGTGATATGTCCCTCTGTTTGGGGATGAGGCCAGGAGAGATTAGCCCCAAGGAGTCAGAAGAAGTCAGTAAGAGATACATCCAAGTTTAGCTGCTCATTAGAATATCCTAAAAGTCTGTACCGTCTGGCTCACAGGCAGCATCCACCAGTGAAGTCAGGTCCTGTGAAGGTGAGGACCAGCTAAATAAATGTATATTGTAGTTTGCTCAGGTAATTCCAGTGAGCATAGACTTCCATGGGATTGGAGGCACAGAGGTGGTTGCTGACAGGGTCCTGAATTCCACAGATCCAAAACCTCACCCTAAAAATAAAGTCATCACATACACCACACACATACACACACCCCACATACCACCCCTACCCACCCCACACACATGCACACATACTACACACACATATACAGACATGCATACCACCTGCACACCACACACACACACTATATATGTGCCTATATATACATACACACACACATATATATGTGTATTGTATATATACATACATACACACATATACATATGTATATACACACATACACATACATACATACATACATGCATACATACATAATGCATACATACATACCCACCCCTCACTGGTCTAGAGCTCACTATGTGGCTGGGGACACAGATCACCCTGCCTCTGCCTCCTGAGTACTGAGACTAAAGGCATGTATCACTGTGTCTGGCTAGAGTCTGTCCTGTTTAATTTAGCAGTGTTCTTTGAATAACTTTCTCCATCTGTTGTCCTTTCTTTGTTATAGAACTCTTCCTGAGTCTGTGACTCTCCAAGGAACATCATTTGGTCTGCTTGTTTTAATTTGCAGGAAGTCCTTCCGGGCTCATCCCCACAGCATAGCGGTCTTCTGAAACTTTTCTTGCTTGCCTCACCATTCCTTCTCACCCTTCCTTGCTCCTGCCAGCCATCTTTACGTAGAGTTCCTTGTCTAGAATTCTGCCTTGGGCTCGCTGTCCTTTCAAATGGCTGCCCTCTTCTCTCGCAGTTGCTTTTATTCTCTCGGTATTAACAGCTATCCATGGCAAGAATCTCCTTGACGTACACTTGCAGATCCACATTGTTCTCTGCCTGGACATCCCATGCCATCGTTACACAGCTGTGTGAACTGCCAACTGAAGTATGGCATGGCGGTCCCTGCCCCAGCCATTTCTACCCAGTTGGAAACATGTAGGTCAAAAACTAAGTACTCAGTAGTAGAAGCACAAGGTAACAATGGCAGGACACCCATGGCAGCTGGTAAGCTCTGAGGGCCAGCAGAGGACCAGGGAGGCAGGAGAGGCTTTTCCATAGAGGAGATGCCGTGTTAGAGTTCAGTGGACTAAAAGACCGCAGATGCTGATACACGTAAGTGTAATAAGTAGGAATCTCCAGCGATTCCATTTGGCTAGGGCTACCCGGAAAGGCCCTAGGCCCAGGCTGGTCAGTCACCAGACACTGCTGACTCCGTCCCATGGTGGCTAGATGTTTAACTGTTAATTGACTGGTTTATATGGGGGGAGGGGTATCTGTACACTACTATGCATCAGTTCAGGCCAGATATTTCTCACTTCCTCCATCCTATACACTGCTGTTGAGTTGCCATAAAGTGACTCTCAGAGATAATTGTTAGTGATTGTTTTTAAGATTTTTAAATAGCCAGGCATGATGGCGCACGCCTTTAATCCCAGCACTTAGGAGGCAGAGGCAGACGGACCTCTGTGAGTTTGAGGCTAGCCTGGTCTACAGAGCGAGTTCCAGAACAGCCAGGACTGTTACACAGAGAAATCTTGTCTCAAAAAAAAAAAAAAAAAAAAGACAACAAAAGATTTGTAAGTGGTTTTTCACTGTGCACAGCACAATCCAAACTTCTGTTCTTGCTTTTAAAAGAAATCTCACTTCAGATGAATTACAGACAGCCATGATCCTAGCACTTGGTAGGCTGAGGCAGAAGAGTTCAAGGCCATCTTTTTCTCCACAGCAGTCTCCAGACTAGCCTGGCCTACACGATACCCTATCTTAAAAAGCAACAAAGATGAGGCTGGAGAGATGGCTCAGTGATTAAGAACACTTACTGATTTGGCAGAGGATTGGAATTTGACTTCCAGAACCCATGGCCATTTTGGTTCAGGACTGTCTGTAATTGGAGCTCCAGGGGCTCTGGCACCACCCTCTGGTTTCTGCAGAAGCACACTCATAATAAAAAAAAAAATTTAAAAAAAAGGCTTGACATTTTTTGTTTAAAAAAAAAATGGCAGAGCTGGAGAGATGACTCAGTGGATAAGAGCACTGGCTTTTCTTCCAGAGGCCCTGAGTTCAATTCCCAGCATCCACACAGCAGCTCACCATTCACTGCCCTCTTCTGGTGTTCAGGCATACACGAAGACAAGGCACTTATATGCATAAATAAGTGCATCCTTTTTTAAAAAAAGATGACAACAAAACTAACAAAAATCCACAGCTTGCTTCTCTGGGCTTTTCACTTCTCCAGCTAAGTCCTCCCAAACACCTTCCTTTTCTCTGGACGTTTGCCTTTGAAACTTTCCTCTCCGCTCCCCGGATGGCAACGCACCCCTTATGCTTCCCACCTCCCTATCTTCATTCATGCAGCTTCCTCCACTGGAAATGACCTCTCCATCAGAGTCAGTCATCTTCCATTTTTCTTCCACTTGGAATCTGTCCAAGTGTGTGTCAAAGCGTAAGGCTTCTAGTGAGCGCCCAGCTTCCTGCTTTCCACTTCGGGCCCTGCCACGTACTGGTCTGGGTCACTTCCTTAAGCTCTTTGTGCTTCAGTTCTCTTTAACGTGGGGACACATTGTGTCTGTCTCACAGGCTGGCTGTGAGCATCACTGAGAACAGTGCCTGCTGCCCAGGGTATGTTGTAGAGCATTTATTTTGTTTTCTACCATAACACCTTTTATTTGGATTTATCCTTCAGTTTACTTTGTGATTGTGTCTGGCTCCCACTACCCTCAAAGTGTCTATCTTAAGAATGCAGATGGAGGCCGGGCATTGGTGGCTCACGCCTTTAATCCCAACACTCCGTAGGCAGAGGCAGGAGGATCTCTGTGAGTTCAAGGCCAGCCTGGTCTCCAAAGCGAGTGCCAGGATAGGCTCCAAAGCTACACAGAGAAACCCTGTCTCGAAAAACCAAAAAAAAAAAAAAAAAAAAAAAAAAAAAAAAAAAAAAAGAATGCAGATGGAAGCTGGGCATAGTGACACATGTCTTTAATCCAAGCACTCACACTGGGGAGGCAGAGGCAGGTGGATCTCTATGAGTTCCAGGACAGCCTGGTCTATAGAGTGAGTTCCAGACCAGCCAGAGAAACCCTGTCTCAAAACAAACATAAAGCTGACTAAGGCAAATAGCTTTCCTGGTGTATTGCGAGCAGTGCTTTCAATGCCACAAGCAGCTGGTTTTCCTTGAAATACTTTACTCTGAGCTTCCTAACAAGAAGTATTATAAGAACTGAAGGAAACTTTACTCAGAGCAGGCACCAGGGCACAGAATTGAAACCGCTACCCGGAGGCCGCTTCTCTGCCATCCTGACAGGGAACCGGGAGCCTCCTGAAGTTAGGTGTCAACCCTCCTCATTGGCTCAGCCCATTTGGCCATGCCAAGTGGCGTTTCTTCTTGAACCTGTCTTTTTAGACTTGACTCTCGGCAACTGTGCAGACTGTCTGGAGACAATGTAATGTTTCAGTCCACACGAATGTTGTGCAGTAGCCAGGAAAGCTCTGGTGCCTTCCTCTTGCTTCTGCAGGATGGCCGGACAGTAGTCAGCTCAGACCAGAACAGTTTTAGAGCATTCTACTGCCTCAGCCGAGGGTAACTGGGTTACCCATGGGTTACCCACAGGCCTCCTCACACCTGTCCATGTCCACTGAGGTTGCTCTGTGTGACCTGTATGCCTGATTTTCAGAGATCCGACGTCGTGGTTCCAAAGACCCCCTGGTGAAGGCCCTCCAGCTGCTCGACGGCCCATGTGAGCCAGGGGAGAGTATGAAGGTGGAGGCCACAGCCAAGAGACGCAGCTCCAAGGACCTGTTGGGGAAGCCACCACAACTCTATGACACCCCCTATGAGCCCTCGGAGGGTGGTCAACGAGGTGCAGAGGTGAAGGCCCGGCCAGCAGACAGCAGGCTGCCAGAGGAGGATGACCGGCCTGCCGCTGAGTATGAGCAGCCCTGGGAGTGGAAGAGGGAGCAGATTGCACGAGCCCTGTCAGGTGAGGGTGCAGCACCTGCCACTCAAGGCCTTCTCTCCTAACACTTCTTACCTTTCAGAGCTGACGCACAACAATGGCACAAGCTCACTGGGCTTTCAGTGCATGAGTAGAGCCCTTCAGTACATGGGTAGAGCCCTTCAGTGCATGGGTAAAGCCCTTCAGTACATGGGTAAAGCCCTTCAGTACATGGTAGAGCCCTTCAGTGCATGGGTAGGGCCCTTCAGTACATGGGTAGAGCCCTTCAGTACATGGGCAGAGCCCTTCAGTACATGGTAGAGCCCTTCAGTGCATGGGTAGGGCCCTTCAGTACATGGGCAGGGCCCTTCAGTACATGGGCAGAGCCCTTCAGTACATGGTAGAGCCCTTCAGTGCATGGGTAGGGCCCTTCAGTACATGGGTAGAGCCCTTCAGTACATGGGCAGAGCCCTTCAGTACATGGGCAGAGCCCTTCAGTACATGGGCAGAGCCCTTCAGTACATGTGTGTGTTGAATAGTGGTCAATTGGGGGTGGTGAACATATCCATCACCTAGCGTGAGTTCACTCAGGTGGCCACTGCAGAAGGCCTCAGAAATCTAGAGCAGAGTCATGGTTCCCAGCAGATAAGGCAGGGGAGGAGGAAGGAAGGGGCTGGTCCCCCATGTTCAGCTCCAGAGGAGCCTCAGCTCTGATGATCTCCTGCAGAGCGTTCTGAGAGTGATGCACATTTCATAATCGCCAGATGACTCTAAATGCGACATCAAGTCCATTCATTGTCTCTGTGTCCTCACTACAAGCCTTTTACTTTTATTATATCTGTTTGTTTGTTGTGTGTTTGTATGTGTGGATGAGTGTAACATGGTAGACCAGAAGACAACCTGTGGGAGTTGGTTCTCTCCTTCCATCATGTAGGCCCCAGGAATTGAACCCATGTTGTCAGTCTTGGTGGTAGGTGGTAAGCCATCTTGCCATCCCACAAGTCATTTTTTTCTTTTCTTTTCTTTCTTTCTTTCTTTCTTTCTTTCTTTCTTTCTTTCTTTCTTTTTGAGGTAGAGAAATAAGAATCTAGCTATGGATGAGTTACAGATTATGCCTGTATTCCCAGAACATGGAAGGCAGGAAATCAGGAGTTCCAGACTAGTCTGGTCTATACAATACTCTGTGTGATCAAAATGACAACCAGGGTGAAAAGTGTGCCCTTAAAACTACTTGTTTCCCTTCTCTTTCTGTCCTATAGCTGTGGGGATGCCCTTGAGGGCTGTTGGAAAAGCCTCCTTGATTCCACATTACCAAAGCTATCAAACTGCAAAAAGCTTTTCTAGTTCTTGGCCTCACTTATTCCTCAAGCTTGTGAAATTGCAGGCCTGGGTAAGATGGATTAATGGGGCACTGTAGCTGAAAACTAGATTGCTTTTGTTGTCATTTGGTTTTCTTATTGTCTCAGTTTCCTTAGTTAGGATGTTAGAGGTATATGCCAAAATTCCCAGCTACAAATAGATTCCTTTAAAAAGGTATTCCGAAGTAAAACCTAGATTGAAGGTAGAGTCACACCTTTAAAAGTAAACCTTTTGTTGCAGGAACCAGGGAAATTGTCTCCTATGTAGTTAGCTCAGGTTGGCCTCAAACTCCTGGGCGCAGCATCTCAAGTAGCTGGGATACCACCATACCTTGCTCATGTGAGGGTTTTTAAGAAATTTAAGGGAAAGTTGATAAACAGTCTTAAAACAAAAGAAGAATGAGGTGGGTTGTGTTGGAGAGATGGCTCAGTGGCTAAGAGTACTTACTGCTCTTGCAGAGGACCTGGGTTCAGTTCCCAGGCCTATATAGAGGTAACTACTGCTCTCAAGACATAATTTTTCCATTTGGCTTTCACAGAATTTGCTTTTCCTTTGATTTAGAATTTTCAAGGCATCTTTACCCCTTAACAGTAAGTCCAATTGGAAGTGGAGCCAGCATACTGGCTGGTGGTGCATGCCTGTATTCCCAGCACTTCCTACACAGCAGCAGGAAGATGGCAAGTTCTAGGCCACCCTAGGCTATATAAGAGGCAAAGCCAATGTGAAGTACCTCTGTGCTGTCTGTCCTCTCTGTCTGTCCTCTGCCTCTCCTAGGCCTCTCTGCAGCTCCAAGATGTCGTTCCATGATTTTGTTCTGTTTCTGAGTGTTTTTCTTTCTGCTTTATCATTTCATAGTGAAATTTGCCACTGGTTTTATAGAAAGAGATAGACTCACTAAATTTCACTAAATGTATGTTTCAGTCTTTTGAAAAAACTATATTCTCTGAGAATTTCATAGTGTGTTTTTGTCATATACTTTACTGTCCTCCAACTCCTCTTAGATCTTATGCCCTTCTCACCCACACAACTTCTCTCCAAAGAGAAAAGAAAGGGGGAAAGCCACTAAAAATGTGGAGTCCTGTTTGTGTTGGCTAACTGCTCCTGAGTTGACGTGGTGCCTGTTCTGGAGTGCGGTGGAAGAAAACTGATCTCTCGGCAGCTGTTTGTGAACAGCTTCTTGGCTAGGGTGGGGCTCTGTGCCCACACCCCCTCCTCCTGGCTGGGATTCTGTCTGGCTTGAGTTTGTGCTGGTGTGTGTGAGCTGTCGCAGTCTCTGTGAGTTCATGTATGTCTGCCCTGCTGTGTCTGCAGCATGCTGCTCCATCGGAATCATCTAACACATGTGGCTCTTACCGTTTTTCTGCCCCTCGTCTTTGAAGACATCTGAGCCTTGAGGATAGGGTGAGAAACAGATGTCCCATTCAGGGCAGAGTGCTCTAGAGTCACACTCAAAATGTACGTGTAGTCTTCTTGTTAGCGCCTTTAGAATAAAGACCATGCTGAAACGTGTTTTATACTGATGAGTGACCTCAAGGAAAGCGATCACATGGGAACACTTAGCAATGTAGTCAGATGTCCACAGCAGCAGGTGCACAGCTGTCTGGGGACACTGCTGCACATTGGTGCTTGCCTTTAAGGCTTCCTTGGCTAAGGCAGGCATGAGGCTTTTCCCTTTGAGGGTTACATGTCTGGCCTCCGTGGTCTCTAGTGTTAAGTGACATCTTCCTTCCAGTCCAGTTTGAGGGATATGATCGACCTTCCAGCAAAGAGGAGACAGGGAGACCGCACCACTGGCAGAAGACCTTGAAGCCAACCCTGTCAGACCATAGTGACAGAGAGAAGGTGGACCCAGGCCTGGCCCTGGAAAAGCAGCCGTGAGTCTCCCTCAATGACTTTCTCACAGACTTGTGTGGGGTACCCTAGCCCATTTGGGGCAATCACTTTCATTTATGAATTCTTGCCTGGTGGAGGTTCTAAGCACAGTGCATTTGTTCAGGATGGAAGGGACTATATCCCAAGAAAGTTTGTTTGCCAAGCCTCGTTCCGTACAGAGGGGAGGCCTGCTTTACTTTTGAATGATTGTTTTATTTTTATTTTATGAGCATTTTGCCTGCATGCATGCTAGAAGAGGGCATTGAATACCCTGGAACTGGAGTTGTGGGTGGTTATGAGCCCCTGTGTAAATGCTAGGAACTTGAACCCAAGTTCTCTGCAAGAGCAGCAAGTGCTCTTAACCACTAGAGGGAAATGTTTCAAATGACACCACCCTCCTTAACTTGGTTGTGTGTGATTGAAAGGCTTTGTGACCAGGACCACTGGAATCTGCATTGTGTCTGTTCTGCCTATGAAGCAGGATCCACGGAGGCTGTTGAGCGTCTCTAGAGGTCCTTGCAAACCTCGATTTAGTGGAGTGGTTTGTAAGTGATGCTCACAGTAGGGTGTAAGTTCAGTCTGGATTTGCACTGTAACACTGTTTTCTTTTTTTTGTTTTTTTTGTTTTTTTGTTTTCTCTCTACCCCTGTTCAGTTGGTATCATGGCACCATTACCCGAGCTGAGGCTGAGAGCCGACTACAGCCCTGCAAAGAGGCTGGTTACCTGGTCCGAAACAGTGAGTCAGGCAACAGCAGGTACTCCATTGCACTGAAGTAAGTGTCTTCACCCCATGGGTGTCCTTGTCTGAAGGCAAGGCTGTGCTATAAAGAATCTTTCCTCCCTGGGGGTAGATGGGCAGTCAAACAGGTATAATCTGATGGTGGGTCACAGGGAGGGTGTCACCAGAAAACAATGGACAGAAGATGGTGAAACACTGTGATCAGAACTGATACTAGATATTAAAAAAAAAATCCTGGTGTCTTATTACAGTCGTGGTGGTCCTGTTTTCATTTTCATGGAACGTTAGTTTCAACCTTGCATTATCAGATCCAAGGCCTCTTAAAAGAGAAATAATTCCTGATTTAAAAAAAAAAAAAAAGTGAAGCCAGGTGGTGGTGGCCCACGCCTTTGATCCCAGCACTCAGGAGGCAGAGGCAGGCAGATCTCTGAATTTGAGGTCAGCCTGGTCTACAGAGTGAGTTCCAGGACAGCCAGGCCTACATGGAGAAACCCTGTCTCAGAAAACAGAAAACAAAAAATTTCAGGGCTGGAGAAATGACTCAGCGGTTAAGAGCACTGGCAGCTCTTCCAGAGGACCTGGGTTCAATTCCCAGCACCCACATGGCGGCTCACAGTGGTCTGTAACTCCAGTTCACAGGAATCTAATGCCCTCTCTGGCCTCTGTAGGTACCAGGCATGCACACAGTACACAGACATATATGAAGGCAAAACACCCATTACATATAAAACATAAAGTTTCTGGGGTTGCGTCTGTAGTGCAGTGGCAGAGTTCTTATCTAGCACACACAAGTCCTAAATTTGTCCAACAGCAGTGCAGAAAATTAAGCCAATAAAAATTAAAAAGACAGCACAGTTCAATTTCTTCTGTATTTTTTAAAGATTTTGAAAATTTTTTATGTGTACCGTGTGCGTGTAGTACCCATGGAGGCCAGAAGGGGGCATCAGATTCCCCTGGAACTGGAGTTACAGATGGTTGTGAGCTTTCATGTGGGTGCTGAGAACTGAACTCAGGTCCTCTGGAAAAGCAGTAAATGCTGTTAACCACTGAGCCATATCTCTGGTGTGTATGTGCACACACACACACACACACACACACACACACACTCATTCTTTTCTTTTTTCTTTTTTAGACAGGGTCTCTTTATGTAGTCCTGACTGTCCTGGAACTCAATTTGCAGACCAGGCTGGTCTCAAGCTCACTGAGGCCCTCCTGCCTCTTACTCCTGAGTACTGGGATTAAATGTTATGTGCCACCAAGCCTGGCACTCCTCTACTCTTTTGAGACAGGTGTCACTGTGTAGCCCAGGTTTATCTAGAACTGAGTGACCCCCTGCCTCTGCACACCCAGCGAGAGAATTCCAGGCATGTGCCAACACCCAGATCTAGTCATTTTTCTTTTATTCCCTGGTATGAGGGACCTTAATGAATATCGAGTCCTTGATTGTCAAGATGCCAGCTGCGCCTGATACTAGTCCCTTCTGGTGAAGAAGGAAGTGCTGAGTTGCTGTTACTGGCTGTCTGATTGTGCGCAGATGCTCACTTCTGCCTGGTGGGCTTGGCAGACCTCATCCCATGGAAATTCTCAGTGCTCGGTGAATTCAGTGGCACCGCATTGGAGGATCATTGTCAAGAGCCCTCACAGCACTTCCTTCCTGAGGAAGCTGAGCCCCTGGGGCTGAAACAATCAGAGTGGAAGGGAAGGGCGGGGGGAGGGGCACAAGAGCAATATGGCTCAGAAAATGGGATAGACCAAGTAGACAATACCAGGAACAGCCACTGTGATCCTGAAAGCCGTGTCTGGGGACCGAGTCTTTGCGCCTTCAGTGCCAGCTGTCATTGTGCGCAACTAGGACTGCTCTTTCCTCCTAGGGGCAGGGGCCAATGGACAGTTATTGTTGTTATTATTATTAATGTGTTCCTTTGGGGAAAAATAAAGGAGGAGAAACCTCACATATCTGTTTAGCAGTGGCAAGGGGATTGAATATTATGAATCGTACAGTGGCATAGGCGTGGACTCACTGGTCTTACAGTTTGGGCAGTAGAAGAAGAGGTTTATTTGGCTTTTTCCTTCCAGTCCTGACTACTGGTGGGCAGTAACGATAAACAAGTTGAGGTGTCATGCATTTAGGCTTAGAAACTTGCAAACACTCCCTCAGCTTGTTGGATGCTTTTCTGTGTGTGTAGAACAATTGCAGGACGGGGAAGAGGACCCGTCCACCTATTGTGAATCTGGCTGGGATGGTTTCCAGTGGGGATGGACGCTCTGCTCACTCATTCATGTCTTCTTGTTTTTCTCCTGCAGGACTAGTCAAGGGTGTGTCCACATCATAGTGGCTCAGACAAAAGACAACAAATACACACTGAATCAAACGAGCGCCGTGTTTGACAGCATCCCTGAAGTGGTACACTATTATTCCAGTGCAAAGTTGCCTTTCAAAGGGGCAGAACACATGACCCTACTCTATCCCGTGCACAAGCTTCACTAAAGTTTAGCCAGCAAGAGCCCAGGCACCTTCGAGGGCATTGGCACCCACCCAGCATCACGTGGCCAGGACTCTGCTGCTGCAGACTGGGAGTTGGCGCCTAAAAGTCAAGCAGTCTTTGGTCTTAAATCCAGGACACTTGGTCTGATCCGATCTTTCTCTTCCTGCCAAGTAGCTATCCTATAAGAAAGTATCGCTTGTCTGTTGCCTTCTCCCTTGGAGTAGGAGTTCAGGAGCACTAACTTGTCCCTCCATGCTGTTCTCTGGAGTGCCTGGCCTCTGAACAACAGAAAACCCCTCGGCCTTTACTAGGACCATGTGGACTGGAAGATCCTTCAGTCTGAGCCCCTCATGGGGAAGTGGATGGGCAGTGGGAGAAGGCAACAATGGACAGGAAAGTCGTCTTTCTCCATGTCCTGATGCAGCTGTGGCCTTCACACACATTCACAACTTATGAGCTGTGCAAGAGGATTGTCTGGCTGGTGGACCTTCCTAAGAACAGTGTTTGCTTTCTCACTCTCTCTGGACGTCCTCATCATTTCTCAACAAATCAATAATACAAGAAATAATTGGGTGGAAGATCCCAGATTCAAGTGTTACCAATACCATCAAGTAGTGACATCCTTGATGAAATTCTGATTGTTATTAAATGTGCTCCAAGTACTTGGTTTCTGATTTTTAAAAGGCTCTACAGAGCTCAACAACCGATTTGTTATTGGATGCTCACGTAATTCAGATATCTTTTGTTTTCTGTTTGTGCATTTTAGTTGCATGGAATCATCTTTACATTTCCTTTCTAAAATTAGATTTGCTCTATATTTTTAGTAAATTTTTACAACAAAATTGGGGTCCAGTTGTATGAACCGAGTCACTGGTCTGGGAAGATCTCCCCCTATGTGCAGAACAAACTAATTTGTGCCTACAGAAACATTTTGAAAGTACTGAAGTCATCTCTACTGCTCTCTGAGACACCATGCCATTGTATTTTTATCCTTGTGATCTCTCTATTGTGGAAAATCCCACTGGAGTGGCATGTCATGAGCAGACACTGTGGGGAATGGGCTGGGCCAGAACTGGATGAATGTTTCTTGTTCAGGTTTGTAAACTGGGCCTCGAGACTGTTCCCAAGGCAATGCACTGACCACCCTTGGTGGGAAGCGGACGTTTGTAGCTTCTTTCAGATGCACAAAAATATTAACCTGGTCAGACTTCTTAGGAAACAAGGCTGTGTACTTCGCACCCATCACTCGACTGTGGAGACTGAAACATAGGAAGGTGTTTGCTCCTGTTTTCTTGAGGATGTCAGCCGAACGGTTGTGTGACTTTCTCTCTGTTTTAGAAAGTTGAAGGGGCTTTTTTCCATTGGAGCATAGTGATCTTCACAAAGGCTGTTCTCACAGTGGTAAGGTTGCATGTGGTAAGGTCTGTTCATTTTAAAGTTTTCAGTAGCCAGAGTTCCAATTCCACCCAGCAAATGTTTATTATCATTATTATCTTGTATATGTGCATTGTTCACTGCGCTAAACCTATTTTTAGCTCATCTCTCTAGCCACAAAGACTTTTTTTTTTTTTTTTTTTGCTTAGCCTTCGTTACTCCTCAAAGGAAATTGAGCTGTTGTCTTTGGTGAATGGTAAGAACATTTAAAAAAATGTTTCTGTGTGTGAAAGGGTTTGGGTCCACACCCAGTGGCTCTGATGGATGCAGGCCTGATGCATGGTGTCTCCTGGGCTCTCCAGGTGTTTTCCTTCCATATTTGTTTTCTGGAATTGGAAGTGGAAGAGACAGAATTTATATATAGTCCAGTCTTCACAGTAGGGAGAGGGGCTACAAAACGCAAAAATATCGCAGGTTCGTGGAAGGCCAGTAGGGGAGTGGGTTAAAGCTGCTATTTTCTTCTTAGGTTGTGACACAAGCTGATAGAAGCCAGGGAGCTCACAGCTCGGAGGTGTTCTAAAAGCAACTAGGCCCAGCAGGGTGTCCTCACCCCTGTGAGCCTGGGCCAGTTGCTCTGGAGCTTGGGCTTGTCCTCTGAGCTCCAAACACTTGGGCTTCCTTCCATTTTCTCCTGATAAAGTATTTCCCTGTTATCTTCATTCCTTTGAGTTGACTGTGTCTCCCAGAAATTTTTTTCTAGAAAGATTGTCTTTTGGTAAACCCTCAGGATGCCTTGAAGTAAACACCTGTAGGGCTGTCCACTTTTTCTCCTTTAGAACAATGTATTTGGAAAAACTGCTCTGGTCCAGGGCATTGACTTAGAAGGGGCCCCTGGGAACAGAGAGTCCCATGTAATCTAGCTAGCTACCCAGGAGTTGGAGGCAAGAGTTCAAGACTAGCCTGGGCAACAGAAAGAAAAGAGGAAGGCAAACGGCATTTCTATTTCCTGTGATACCACAGTGGTTTCCATCAGGATATATTTTAACCCCCGCCCCCCGGTCTGCATATTTAAGTAGGAATCAGCACAGACCAGGAGGATGCTAAAGAGACAGAGTGGGAGGCTCTTGAGTTTGAGGTTATTCCTGGATTACACCTTAGGGCTGGAGAAATGGCTCCCCAGCTGGAAGCACTGGCTGCACTTTGCAAAGGACCCTTGGGATTAAAGGCGCGCGCCACCAACGCCCATCGTACACATAAACTCTTTTTAAAACTTGAAAAATAGGAATAAACTAACAGGGGATTTTAGTGTGTGTTCACAAAGGCAAGTGATGCTAAATGCAAAGTGTCCTTCAGGTAACTGGGATGCTTTAAGAGGCAGCTGTAAGAACACCTTCCTTTACTCCGGGCCATTTAAAGTCTGTTCCTGCTGTGTTGGAGTTTGGTGACTGGCCTCTGCCACAGCAAGGGCAGCTGGGCAGAGAAGCTAGAGGGAAAGTCAGCTATCCTCAAGACAGGTCCTACAGTAATAGTCCTTGTGTGTTATTTGGATTATTTACCGGTGTTACCACTCAACGACTAGCTGGTGCTGTTGGATAGATCAGAGGGGCAACTGTGAGACGTTCTTTAGTTGCTTGTTAAATGATTCAGTCCCCTCTGCTAAAATGTCCTTCAGTTAGAAGCTAATGCCTTATTTTCCCTTGCCTCTGTCATGCTAGGTTTCATTCCTCCTGTGCATGCTTTTGATACTTAGGATCTCACCGGTCCCGTCCATGGACCCCACATCCGTCGTTCATCTTTCTATCTTCTCTAGCCAGCACCGGTTTAACCTTACACCCCCTTAGAACTGCTCTTCTTCATTCTCACTGCCACTTCTTACACCCCACTAACTTGACCCGCTGTTGAGCCTTGTTTGCAAGTTAGCCTCTCTTCTTGGCAGAACCTGTGATGAAAGATAGTGTGCTACTGCCATCTACTGGAACAAGAGAAAACTGCAGCTGAGAAATAAGCTGAGTGTTTCAAGGTAGTTTGTCTAAAGGATTTGTGATGTAGTCCATAAATAAAAACAAATGATCACACAGCAATTGCTGTCTTGAAATATGCCCTTTCTGGCTGGAGAGATGGTTCAGAGGTTTAGAGCACTGACTGCTCTTCCAGAGGTCCTGAGTTCAATACCCAGTAACCACATTGTGGCTCACAACCATCGGTTATGAGATCTGGTGCCCTCTGCTGGTGTGCAGATATACATGGAAGCAGAATGTTGTACACATAAATAAATAAATAAAATCTTAAAAAAAAAAAAAAAGAAAAAAGAAAAAAAATATGCCCTTTCCTATATAAAGGGTTGTTTGATTACTAGTATGACAGTCATCCATGAGGCCCCTGGACCCAGGCTGGGTCATGTAGCTCACAATCTCATTTCTATTTTTGAAGACTATGCTGTCAACAGATCATTGAGGCTGGCTTCATTATGTGAAGTTCTTAGATATTCCATATGTTGTCCGGAGTATTTGACATTTTAAATATCAACTAATGCATTGTTTTAACTTTTTAAAATATTTAAGAGATTGTAATGCCAGGTGCCTTGGTAATCCGTATTGTATCTTACAAATGGAATCTTATAAACTGTTGGCTCTCTTGCATGGGCCAGTGTAACTATGTGCCTTCCAGAAGATGGTTTACTCTGAATGTTACTTTCAATAAATGCTTTGCCAGGAAAGACAGTCATTTAGCTCTGTTCATTTAGTGTTTTGGTTGGTGTGTTGTGTTGTGTTGTGATGATGGGTTGCGTGCACCAGGGCTCTGCCACTGAGCTACCCCCATCAGTTCATTTGTTTTGACAGACACCTCCCTACATGAAAGATACTTCCTGTGCAGACACCTACCTGGAGCCTCTGTGAAACTGCTGATGCCGGGGTATGCCAACTACCAGACAGCCTAAAGCCCAAGGGTCCCCTCACTTCTGCTTTAGAGCCCCGCCCCACTGCTTTCCCTGGGGAATACACATAGTAGCTCAGTTTTCCTCTGTGGCTTAGATGTCTTTCCCCTGCATATCTCTTTGTTCTCCTCCTCTGAGCTTCAGAATTAGGCTGTGTGTGTGTGTGTGTGTGTGTGTGTGTGTGTGTGTGTGTGTGCGTGCGTGTGTGTGTTTTACTGATACAGCCACTACTTCTCAACTGTGGGATTTCACACTTAAAACTCGTTTTTTGAAGCTAAGAAAAACTAAGTATATCTTAAATTATGTGTGGGGCGTGGTGGCACATGGCCAGAGCCCCAGCACTTGGGAGGTGGAGGCAGGAGTTCAAAACCAGGCTGGCCTACCTTGTCTAAAAAATGGGGGTATCTGGGAACTCTTAATACATGTGGCTCACTGTCAGCCTTGATAGTGTATCCTTCTATATTCTATACCAGTGGTTCTCAGCCTGAATGACCCTTTCATAGGGATTGCCAAAGACCATCAGAAAACACAGATATTTAATTATGATTCATAACTACAAAATTGCAAAAGTAGTAAAATTACAGTTATGACGTAGCAATGAAATAATTTTATGGTTGGGAGTCACCATAACATGAGGAACTGTACTAAAGGGAGGTTGAGAACCACTGTTCTATACTGTCTTAACTACTTCACTCCAAATAAAGTTACCTCACTACTTTTGAAAAAAAAAAAAATCTCCAGGTAATTTAGACACAGCCATGGCTGAAAACCAGTACTGTCCATTTAGAAACGTGAAAGAGTCACTTGAGGTCCTTGGGCTGTGCACTGGTTAGCCCAATATTTTCACATGAATTCTATTTTATTTTTAATTATGTGAAGAGGGGTGGTTGGGACATGCACCTGCCTTCAGAGACCGGACGCATCAGATCCTTTGGAACAAGAGTTGCAGGCAGTTGTTAGCCAATGAATGCATTCATGCTCATAGCAGCTGAGCCATCTCTCTAGTCCCAATTATTTTATTTGTGTAGCATGTGTGCAGTAGCTGCAGGCGACCAAGAGGGCTTTTGATCCCCTGAAGCCGGAGTTACAGGCGGTTGATTGTGGTGCTGAAAGTTGGCGTCTGGTCCTCTTCAAGAAAAGCAACTGTTCTCAGCCATTGAGTAATCTAGCATCTAGTTTTTACCTTCCAATGAGCATTTATGCCATTTGCCACCAGGTGGTATAAGTACCTATGGTCTCTTTATATTTATTTATTTATTTTTATTTTTTATTTTTTGGTTTTTCAAGACAGGGTTTCCTGTGTAGCTTTTGAAGCCTATCCTGGCACTCGCTCTGGAGACGAGGCTGGCCTCGAACTCACAGAACCATTTACTAACCTTTGTTTCATATTATTGATTTATTTGTTTGTTAGAGACAATATATATATATAGTTTTGGAGCCTGTGAGCCTGTCCTGTAACTGGTATTTTTTTAAGATTTTATTGTGTTTATATTTTATGTATACCTGCAGGCCAGAAAAGGACATCAGGTCCTATTATAGGTAACTGCGAGCCACCACGTGGTTGCTGGGAATTGAACTCAGGGTCTCTGGAAGAGAAGTCGAGTGCTCTCAACATCTGAGCCATCTCTCCAGCTCTACATTTATTTTTTTTAAAGGATGTTTACATGCTGTAATGTTCCCTCTGCCCCATCTAGAGAATCAAAGTAACATTTTCAAAATTCAGACTTAGGTGCTGAATGTTGGATTCGGGCCCTGTGAAGGGCAATGTGTAAGTAGTGAGACAGACTAGGTACCTGTCAGACTAGATCCATAGCAAATGGTTTTCATGCCACATGATCTTCTTTTAACCCTGCACAAGTCAGGAAGCCAGGTGGGAGCCTCGTTTGTCAAATGGGACCTGAAGCCCGAATGACCAACAGCAGCATATCTGTGTCACCACATAGAAATAGGCAGTCTGGGTCTGCCTCAGAGCCAGGGGCTGCTTGTTCTGCTGTTGTTGTCTAGACAGGTTTGTTCAATGTAGCACAAGCTGCTTCAAGCTTAAGGTCCCCCTGCCTCTACCTTCCCAGTCATGGGACTGCAGGTGTGTGCCACCATGCCAAGCCATGTGTGATTTTAAGTCACCTCTGCTTTCCCGAATACCCAGCCTACAGAACCTGTCACAGCTGATGGACAGAATCAGTAGAGGGCTGCAGAGATCCTCAGGCTTAAGAGCACTTGCTGCTCTAGCAGAAGACTTGGATTGCCTTCCCAGCACCCATATGTGGAACTCCAGGGGACCCTACACCTCTGCGGGCACCGCACTCATTTGTTCAAGCAAACACACATACACATAAAATAGGAACAAATACATAGTTTTAAAAATATACCTCTGTATTCTCTAACAATGGAAATGTGTCAAGTGAATGGGACATGAAGGATGAATGACCACAGAGTTCTGTCCCGGAGCCCACAAAGTCTGAGCCCAGTGGTAAAAGCACAGGCCAAAGGTTCTGTACATGTCCCCAAGGCAGCCAGAACACAGAGAGAAAAGGGAGAGGCAGCCCCCTCCTTTAACTTAGCGATTCTCCCTTAGGGTCAAATCTAGGGGCTTGCCCTCGGTGTTCAACCGCAGCTCTGGACTGTTTCCCTTCAGACTTGAGGCAAGGGAACCAGGCACAGGGGAGGACTCTACCTCCAGGACAAAGCTGGGCTGGGGCTGACAGGTGGCTCTTGGGGCGGGCAGCCTTTCTATATCCATGGAGCCCCTCCTCCTTCATGGCCCCATACAGTTGTGAAATCCTGAAGACTACTGAAGCTCTGACAGCCAGTATAGGGTTACAGTGAAGCGCTCTGCTCCAAGGCTGGAGGGTCATTTCCAGACTCCACAAGTGACACCGGTTTCTTTCGCCACACTGTGAGTCATAGTGGAGTCACCCTTGACTCAAAATGCTTCCTACATGACTTTTCAATGATTCAGCTTGCCTTCTGATATATGGGCACAAGTAACCCAGACTGCTAATTTGAAATAATTGTATTAAAAGATACCTTACTTCACTTGCAAATAAAATCCAGTTGATTTACCAAAGAATGAACCAGTGTGCTAGTAACAAGAAAAAAAAATCCACTGAGGGCTAATCCACAGCCTGGTCTACATAAAAAGTTGCAAGCCAGTCTTGTGCTACATGGTGAGACCCTATTTCAAAAAAGCATAAATAAATAAAATAGAGAAAGGGGGTTAACAAAAGTGTGCTCGTTTTGGATTATTTTAAACTGACTTTCCAGCTAAACATTGTTTCTACAACCCTCGTCCTTTTAACAGAATATCAATTTATTATCGGGTAGAGCAGGCTACCCCATACTTACCACCCCCTCCAGGACTACTGTCTTTAGGAGATTTTGGCTCTAACAGCTTTGTTCCTTTGCTGGATTTCTTTGGTTGGTCAGTTTTTAGAAATAAAAATGGCTTTACATTTGCATGTCATCCTTGGGCAGGGGCCATGCTAGCTTTCTCTGTACTGTTTTTATTTTAGAATATGTGCTGCCCAAGTGGGCACTTACTGTTACATACCAATTTGGCTATGTTGCTCAGATTAGCCTGGAACTCCTGGGTTCAAGTACTCTCTTTGCATCAGCCACCCAAGGAGCCCGATCCACAAGTGTGCACTGTTGTACCAGGCTTTAATAGACAACTACTGTTCAGCGACAGTGCAACCTATGAAAACATGGGGCACAGGGGTGCACGCCTTTAATTCCCATACTTGGGAGACAGAGGCAGGTGGATCTCTGTGAGTTCAAGGTCAGCCTAGTCAACAGAGTGAGTTCCAGGAGAGCCAGGGCTACATAATAAAGGAAGACCCTCCTCAAGAAACAAAAAAAGAAAGAAAGAAAAGACAAAAAAAGAAAAAGAAAGAAAGAAACAAAACTGAAGAGATGATATTATAGCTACTTAATGAGAAGTTTCTTTCATTGTAAACACAAAATGTTCATGGAAGATGTTGATACAGAATACACATAAAGGGAGAAAGAAAAGTACACACTCTCTTTGACGTCCCAGAGTGCTTTGCTGGATGTAGTTCAGGTCCAAGGCAGGTGTGTCCAAGAAGAGCTACACAGCTGCCACCAGTCCCTACACAGCTGCCAGAAACAGCCTTGCTGGAGAGTTGTGTCCCCATCTGGCACCCCAGGACATTGCCAGCCCTGGAGAAGAGGAGGCAGGAACAAGAGGATCAAGGGTTCAGGGCCATTCTGAGCTACCCAGCAAATTGGAGGCCAGCCTGGGATACCTGAGATTCTATCAAAAAAAAAAAAAAAAAAAAAAATGGGGGGGGGGGGGGCAAAACATTTAAATTAAACATTTAATTTAGGAAACTTGCTTTAGTTTTTTGTTGTTTTGGAAGCTACAGAAGCCTCATATTATAGTTTGATTGATCCATAGTAGAGTGTAGACTGGAGAGATGGCTCAGCAGTTAAGAGCACTAGCTGTTCCTCCAGAGGACCTGGGTTCAATTCCCAGCACCCACATGGTGGCTCACAACCACCTGTAATGGGATCCAATGCCCTCTTTTAGTGTACAAACATATCTACTGACAAGGGTCTCTCTACAGAGTCCTGGCTGTCCTGGTTCTCACTATGTAGACCAAGCTGGTCTCACAGAGATCTGCCTCCCAAGTGCTGGGATTGAAGACATGTGCCACCACCACCTAGCCCAATAAATCTTTTAAAAGACAGACAGAGAGAGACAGAGACAGAGACAGAGACAGAGACAGAGACACAGAGACAGGGAGGGAGGGAGGGAGGCAGGAAGGGAGGGAGGGAGAGAGAAAAAGAGAGAGACAGAGAGAGAGGGAGGGAGGGAGAGAGAATGAAGGAAGGAAGGAAAGAAGGAAGGAAGGAAGGAAGGAAGGAAGGAAGGAAGGAAAGACAATGGAGCAAGGCCAGGTGTAGTGTGGCACACCTCTTTAAATCCCAGCACTTGGGAAGCAGATCTCTGTGAGACCAGCTTGGTCTACATAGTGAGAACCAGGACAGCCAGGACTCTGTAGAGAGACCCTATCCCAGCTACTGTCAGGAGGAGGAAGTCCTATCCTTGGATTAGCTTGGAGGTCAGAGAGCCAGTGAGAAAGCCCAGCATGTCAGGGAAAGCTATATTTAGGGTTTAGCCTGAATCCAAAAAAGAGATAAGAAAAAAACAAAACATGCTTAGTTCCAGACTGCGTATCAGAGTTCAGAGGACTTCTGAGTCCAGGCTCTTGTATCCTAGGCCAAAGGATTATACCAGGCACAGCTGGTTAGAAACAGAAATAAAGATCATTTATTTAAAAGCAGGTGGGGAACCTCCTGAGAATAGAGGTGGGCTAGTGAGCTGAAAGCCCCTAATGCCAAGAACCTGTTTTTCTTAAAACTGGCTGGGTGTAACTCCCGAACAGGGCAGGCTGAGAGGAAGAACTGTGAGCTGGAGGCCAGCCTGGGCTACATAGCAAGACAGTCTCGGAAAAACTAAAACAAAAGCCTCCTAAGGGGCGCTCAGTCACTTTCATCTCCTGAGATCTAAAAGAACCCAAGTGTATAAGTCCCCCTGCGAGACACACCCACAGGAAGCCCCTGGGGAAGATGCTTCCCCTTAAGTCAGCCTTCTCAGTAAGGGATTTCAAGTAACTGAGAGATGTTTCTCAGAAACGACTGTGATTTTATTCTGAGTGCCCATGTGAACTAGGTTTTCCATTGACTTTAACCTTCGACAAGAGCGGCTGGTGCTCCTAACCACTGAGCCACCTTTCCAGTCCCAGATTTTGATGCATTTCATTTTATTTGTGTGTGTGTGTGTGTGTGTGTGTGTGTACCACAGATGTGCAGGTCCCCAAAGAGGCCAGGAGAGCTGGGAACAGAACTTAGAGAAATTGCTAGAAATTTTCAGAATCAAAACTTCTGTCTTCTGTGGCTTGTATAAAGTCCAACTCAGATGCTCAGGTCGAGGCCTCTTAGGCTGATAGTCTTTCTGTGACGGAGCCCTGTGATCCAGAATAGAATTGGAGGGTTTTTTTTTTTTTTTAAGTCCATAAACTGTGTGCAAAATAAACAGCAAAGCCAGGAGCAAGTCTCACGCCACAAGTCCAGAGTTGAAAGGGAAACCCAATTCCACCCCCTGGCAACCAGCATTAAGTTTAAGGAGTAATCTCTGCCCCTCCTCTCTGTGACCTGTTGCTCTGGCTTCTTCAGTGTCACCCCTGAAAGTACCTGGGCTGTTCCTTTGCGTGTGGGACCAGAGTTGCAGTTGGCTCAGCTGTTGGCCTCATCTTACACACAGGAACACAACAAACCAAACATGGAACTAGGGACACTTGCGGAAGTGAGTGGTCCAGGCCTCCCGCACTGCAAGATGGGAGAGCACCTGGCCTGCAGAAGAGGTCCATCCAGGTCACCAACAGCTATGGGACCTGAGCCTTGGGGTGGAGAAGACCTACATTTGGGGTCTGGCTCCTAACTAGCCTGGGTATTCCAGACCACTCTTTACCTGAATGAGCCTCAGGAGCCCCACCTTGAAGTGTGAGAAGTGTTTACCTGGAAGCACCCCCAGGCTGAGGCAGAATGGCTGCTTATAAACTGCACAGAGAGGTGTTGGTGTATGGCAGCCATTATTATTAGCTAACTTTATGTATATTTTACAAGGCTGGGAATGGAACCCAGGGCTTGTGTGTGCTGGGAATGTTTTCTACTATTGGGCTGCACCACCAGCCCTTAGGAGGGGATTCTGGCGAGTTTGCTCTACTGAAAAGGGTCTGTAGACTTCTTGATAACCAACAGGGCTGATGATGTAATAACTACTGTTGCTAAAATCCCTTCTTTGGAGGAGAGTTAAGCAATGTCTGCCCCTTCACTCACGGTCCCACCACAAACCCACACTAAGGCCACAAGAGTCTGGTGAAGTTCACTCTGGGGACCAGTTAATTTATTGGGCTTCCCTACAGAGCCTAGGGATAGGGGTACTTACATGGGTGTGGACATGCATCCCCCAACCAGCTACACCTGGAAAGGCTTACTGCACATCAATGAGGGTTTCCACCCAATATGTTTATATAGACACCCCCTCTCCCCCCCCCCCCCCGGTGTTCCTGCTATGCCCCCCCCGCCCCCAGGCCACAGCAGTTTGCCAGGTAGTAGAGAGCAGCTAGATACTCAGGTGAGAATCTCAGGTCTGATGAGGCCTGTGCTGGGGTGGGAATGTCAGCCAGTCCCATTGGGATGAGCATTTGCAAGGGCACATAGCTGAACTCCCCAAGACAAGACAGTACTATCGCTTCAGAATCTTACCTCAGCTGTGGGGGCCAGCACAGAGAATGTCCAGCTGGCCTCCCATCGGTGGAGACACTCGGGTGGTGATCTCTGTCTGCCATTGGAATTCTGAGGGTGAAATCAGCCTTGCCCTGACTGATTAAGCTAGATTCTCCCAGGAAATCACCCACTGACAGTCTGGAACTGGAACTATGGATCCCCCACAACAACAGCCCCAAGCTCATGGTGGAAGCCTAGGGTTTGTTTATATGACTCCCCAGCCCATCACCATCCCAGGAGAGTTCATGTAACTTTCTGAGACACACATCAGATCTTCCAAACTTGGAGAACAGGATTCTAGCAGCGTGTTGCAGAGACACAATTGTGTTCTGCAGGAAAACATGCTAAATACATATGTGTTGGGTGGGGGAGCTTACCTCCTCTGGTTTGTATGTCCTTCATTGCTTACTGGCCACAGGCTCCTGTGTGCCCTTATTGGATCTCTCCATCACTTAAAAACTGAAGGATTGGCGATGCAACACAGTGGGGGAGCACTTAGCTAGCTAGCATGCTTGAGGCCTTTGGGCTTGAGCCTCAGGACCTCAGGAGGAAAATGAAACAAAACCTATTTGGGCATTCCAGAACTTCAAAATCCACACTAAAATGCAACTGACATGCTAGATTTTATTTTTATTTATTTATTTCTGAGACAGTCTTACTGTATAAGTCCAGGCTAGCTTTGGTTATTCCCTCAAGGGTACTGGATAGCTTTACTGATCTTGATAGGATATTTCCTAGACCGGTGGTATGAGCATTTCATGGCCTTACTGACATCCTCCCCCCATTAAGGTGTCTACGCAGCTTTGTACCACCACTACCGAGGGTCAAAACCAGGGCTCTGTGCATGCTGGGATGCATTCTACCAACTGGGCCACACTCCCAGGACCACTTTCTTCAGTTTTGTATTTTCACCCTGGGCCCCAGGGCTGTGCCCCACCCCCATCCCACTAAGCCCTCACACGGCACACTGCCCCCCAAAAATGTGTGGCCACGGCAGTGGGACCTGCATTTCCCGCAGATCTGCAGGGAGAGTGACTTCCCTTGTGCCTTCAAAAATAAAGAAGATGCTGCTTAGCAGAGACTTCCAGCAACTGCTCCTTCTGTCTCAGAGAATCTGCCCATCTGTCTCCCTCTTCCGCAGCGTCCCCACCCCCCACGTCTTCTGGAAAGCGCAGGGCTGGTCTCTCAGGACAGCCACAGCGAACTGCTCTCTCCTCTCCTGGCTCTCCCCACTACCCACAGCAGTCTGGCCACCCAGGGGACACCTGGTTCCGTGCTACTTTCCCAGCCTCAAAGGAAGGCTGCTGAGGGGCTTTTCCAGTGTCCCATTTGGGGTGGAACAGTGCTTCCCACTCCAGCATCGTCTGAGCTGAGCCCTTGACCCGGAGCTGCCCCTCCTCCAGCCTACTCTCAACAACAAACATCGTGGCCGCTTTTCAGTTTAGAACATGGAGATGGCTGGGCCCCAGGTCTGTCTTGTCCAAGACCCTTTAAAGTCGGGGATGGGGGAGGCCCAAGGGGGGGCGGGGACGGGACACGACACAGACTCAGCCATCTGATAACCAAGGTTCAGGGTGGCTCTCAGGATGCCACTGCTACCTCCACGGTCCAGAAACCCCAGGGCTTGGTTTAGGGAAAACTTATATTAACTGAAGACTTTTGAGAAATTGTTGCTCACTGTGTGTGTGTGTGTGTGTGTGTGTGTGTGTGTGTAAGTGAAACAGGGTCTCACTAGCTTCAAAGTTGGAGAAATCCTGCCTCTGCTTTTCTAGTGTCAGGATTATAGGAGTGAGGCACTGTGCCCCTCAAAAATAGTCCTACTTAGTTATTTAGCTTTTCTCACTCTTTACTCCCCATTAATCCCACAAGGTTTTCTTTTAGTGAAAAGGTTCCCAAAGCAAAAACACATCAAGTGCAGTTTAGAAAGTATTTATTTCAAACAGTTACAATTTTCACTTTAAAGCAAACAGTGGCTCCAAAAAAAAAGCAATGAAAAAAACATATAAAACTTTGAAAAACATATTATATGCTTGCAAAAACGGCGTGGGTATCAGTTTGCAGGCAACACAGGGGTAAAAACCTTAAAAACATTGTCTCAAAAACAAAAACATGTAGCGTTGAGGTATTCTGCTTAACGGATATGATCTCTAGCCAAGAAAGTCTCTCCGTCCATTCCAGCTTGCTACACACTGTACCAGCCCTTTCCCTGCAAACTAGCTCTCCATCTGAGCATATGTTCACAAAACTGACAGTGTTCCCTAATAAGCGTTAAGGTTGTCATAGAAACTCCCAGGAATTGGCACCCAACCACACTGGGACTGGTAGCTGGAAAGACCTTTGGCACTCTCCCCAGCGCCAGCCCTAGGACCCGAGTCAGCTGGCCTGTCTCCTCCAGCCACAGCCTCACTGTAGGCTGTAGCATGGAAAAGGTTCTTGGGATGACCCTGTTTCTCCAAATGAAGATAGGTTTCTCATCACCTCCACCTCCTCCATTCCTAGTGTAGGAAGCCTCCCCAACTAGGTCAGCCTGCTAGGAACTGCTAGGGAAAAAAGGACCTAGGCAAACCCAAGCATTCCTTAAATCTGCATAGTATGCCCAACCCTGGCCCACCCTGCTGGGCTCTGCTCCACACTGGCTCCAGCAATAAACCGCACACCGGTTTCCTTTCTCCCAAGACATTGAGGATGTGGCAAAGTGCACATCTAGGTGAGACTCTGCAAAGACAATGCCCGCAGAAAAAAAAGCATTCAGTCACCAAACATCACAGGTGCACAGCCAATGATACTCCCTTGACATGCTTTAAAGCTATTCGAGAATGCCATAAGAACCAAAGATCACTTTGAACTTGAGCCGGTAGGCGCTCTCCTCTCCCTACAGTGCAGTAAAGGTCGTATTTAAACCATCTGTCTAAACCCTCCACATCTGGCTGCCCAGTTGCCAACAGCAGGTGTGCAGTGAGTGACGACCTGTGGGCTGCAGAAACTCCAGTCAGAATGACCCAAGGATGGAGATACATTCAGCAATCACAGATTTGAGGCCAGAAGCAGCTGAGGTGTGCCCTGAGCAAAGCTGGGGATCAGAGGAAACAGACGTCATTGACATTAGCTTATTAAAAGTCAAAAGGAAAATGCATCCTTTGATAGTAGGGGGGGTGGGTATCCTGTCATAATAATAGTGAAAGCAATAACAACTTGGAGATCAAAGCTATTTAACTTTCAGAGATAATGAGCTATCTGGATTTCAATCTTCCACCAGCTTGCCCTGCCTGGCTTTGGTAACAGCATTCAGGCAAAGCCATGTGAAGAACTGAAGAATCGTGTGTGGGCACAGTCACCTATCCCCTGCAGATCACTATTTCTAATATTCCCCTTTCACAGCATTTTTGCTACTCTCGAGTCCCAGAAACTTAACAAAGAAGGGTAAAAAAACCAAAACAACAACAACAAAAAAAAACAAAAAAAAAAACAAAAAACAAAAAACATGAATACCTGCCTGGTTTTTGTCAACTTATAAACCTTTTTCTAAGACAGCAACAGGCTCTGAAACATAAAAAGCCCAGAAAGAAAATAACCACCTGCTTAAGACAGGGGCACCTTGGGGCTGTGGGACAGACAGCAGGATAGCTTCCCTACTCCACCTCCTGTTCCATGGTGGTAGCATTTTCTGAAAGGTAAAATACTAGGGAAGTGTTGGGATTTGGTAAATGTGGGGGTTAATGATTGCAAAACTCACTTTAATCACAGCACACTCTGGTCTCCTGGGTGACCACTAACATCACTGAGTTCTCAAAGCCCCAGGGGAAAGCGGCTGAGGTATCCAGTGCTTGTGTGGGTACTGAATGCAGGGACTCTGCAAAGTGAGGAAGGCCACAGTGGCAATGAGGTGTCACAGGAAGCGGACACGCTTCTTCCTAAGCCTGGCGAGCATTCATTCCCTGAAGCTGAGTACAGACTATTTTTATACTTTTTAAGACAAAAAACAAGATACAAAACGAAACCAAAGTCTTTTCTGTTACAGAAAACAGTCATTTTTCTCGATTTTCACTTGACTTGGCTTTTGGACTAAACAAAGTTACTGTTACCCCACTCCCCCCACCCCAAGGGTGGTGGTTCCTACACAGTGAGTGCTAGTGCAGAAACAGTTTCCTTTCTTTGTTTGTTTGGTTTTTTCTCTGTGTAGCTTTGGAGGCTGTCCTGGAACTCTGTAGACCAGGCTGGCCTTGAACTGCCTCCATCTCCCTCTGCCTCCCAAGTGCTGAGATTTAAGGCGTGCACTACCAACACCTGGCTCAGGCAACAGTTTTGTACAAAGCAAAATGAAAATGCATTCTTGCTAGTTCAGTTTTCTTTTTACATGAAGATCGTCTTTCCTAATCGCTCAGGTCCAGTTGAAACCAGTATGGGCAAGGCTGGAGTAAAGTAATTATACTATCTGCCATGGCGGAAGTCCTCGCTAACACCATTCCCTCCCCCCAGAGAGTAGGGGGTACAGAAAACATGTTTTCAGAAGCTGTGTCCCCTCATCTACAACAGGGACAGTGGATACCGGTCCTTCCCCTACTTCCACCCTGCTTCTCTTGAAGTCCTGAGATCAAAGAAGAAAATAAAACTTCTGCAGTCAGCAGTGCCTAGGATTATCGTTCACATTTGAAAAATGTTTATGAGAAATTGCCATTTCACCTAAAACCATCAGGCCCTGAGTTATCAGCCACCACAACCGGGACTTCCAGCTGCTTTCCCAGTGGCTTTCCAGGTAGTGAGAAGGAAAGTAGGAACGGGCTTCCTCCTCAGCCTTAGTGGCCCAGGAAAAGAGAATGTCAAAGGTACTTGGATTTTAAGAGTTCAAGCTACAAGGTCAGTTGGGAGAGTGAGCCAAAGCTAGGCAACTGGGGCAACCTGTGGCACCCCTACCTGAGGCTGTCCTGAGGGTGCAGCTTGTGAAGGCTATCAGTATGTAGAAGACAAGCACTTCTATCCAGAGTGGTCGCAGGTCTCTTCATGGTGGCCTGTGTCCCTCACAGCCCCTTCCTTAGGAGCATATGCAGTATACCAGTCTTCACCCATTCCGAACCTTCTGCAAGGCTCTTGTAGGAAAGGGAAGCTTCAGCCCCACCCACGCCCACCCCCGACCAGGTGAACTGGAATGGCAGTGAGGAGCATGTGTGTTGGTTTGATACCGTGCCAGCTGCCAGGTACCATCCAGACGACTATCTGGAGAATAAGTAGTCTCTGTTGCTGGTGTCAAAAGGGCTCTGTGGGTCCCTGACACCCAGGCAACTGTGGCTTACGGTGTTGTCAGGCCTAGAGCGGTTGTGGGACCCTGCTGAGGTGAGGAGAGGAACCAGTACAAAGTTCGGCTTCAGCTGTCCCAAGGTATATGGCGGGGAAGAGCTTGTCTTGCTTTCCTTCTCAGCCTGGGATTTCCAAGTCTTCTTGAGCCTTTATCAAAACACACAAAAACAAACAGACGTGAGTTTTCTCCCAGGCCAACGTCATGGTGGAAAACACCAGCAGCAGCTGGCTGCCCTGGTTGCTGGGTGTGCCCAGACTCAGTTTACTTCTGTATCATTACCAGAGGTCTCCAACACACTGAGGAGCTGATGAGGCTCAAAACCTAGACCACACCTCCCTGGCCCATTTACAAAGGGAAAGAAATGTGACTGTTGCTTTATGCACTCCAAAAGTCATCTGCCGGCCCTGTGCCCGAGGCTGCCCATGAGGTACGCATCTTCAGTTCTCTGTCATTCACGTAAAAAGAAGAGAAGAATATTCTCTCAGGGAAGGAAAATGGAACTTGGTCCAACTAAGACTGGCAGAAAGCAGATCATTCACAGCCTACAATGAATAGCAGAAAACAGGCTGTGTGTGCGGTCCCTGTCCTCTCTCCTGTCCCAGGCAGTCAGTACTCCCATGCTTGGGCCTCCATACACCTCCACCCAGCCCCACCCCAGTAGAGAGACTGCACACTCCGAGGAGGGCACCACTGGGCACATGTTGACTCATCTGACAGGAAAGTCAATGGTGGGCAGGAAGGAGATAGGGCATCACTCTGATCACAGCCTCCTCAGTGTGCTGTCTGGGCCCCAGGCCAGGCTCTGCAACCATGAAAAAGTCAGCTGACAGCATGAAGAAAGCTGAGCTGCAGATACAGATCTGGAAAGGGGGGGCTCCCTCCCAAGGGGCCCTTTGCTAGGTGTGCTGGATCAGGGCCTCCTCTTTTCCCTTTGACCTTCGCTACTGCTGTCTACGGCTGCCCTGCTGTGTATTGACCCCCAAAGGGGGAGTAAGGTGACCCTCCTCAATTCCATCCCATGCTAATTACCCAAGGAAGGGCTGTGAGGGAGGAGGGAAGCCAATGTCAAAACAAAACTTGGGCATTTTCTTGGGCTTTTTGTACCGGCAGATTATTCTTGTTCTTGTTGTGATAAATGATTGATGGTTGGCTCTGAGTTTGCTGCTGGCTCTTGGCCTGTTAGCCAAATAGCGCAAACAATCTGCAGAATGTTTCTTGGATGCAGGAAGAGAGCCCAGCAGGGGCAAGAAGAGGAGTGTGCTTAGTTGCTGAGTGGAATTCTCCCTGTGAGAGGACACACTGCTACACAAAGGACTGCAAAGCACCCAGACCCTCTGACCCAGGAATTCATGTTCTCAGAAAATACCCTTAAAAAATGACTGTGGTGGTTTGAATAAGAACGGCCCCCACAGACTCATATATTTGAATGCTTAGTCATCCAGGAGTGGCCCTACTTGAAAGGATTAGAAGGATTAAGAGGTGTCCTTATTGGAGGAAGTGTGTCACTGGGGGTAGGAGGTGGGGGTGTGGTGAGGTTTTAAAAGCCCAAGCCAGCTAGGCCCAGTCTCTCTCTCTCTCTCTCTCTCTCTCTCTCTCTCTCTCCTGCCACGATGATCTCCGACTCAGCCTCTGGAACTGTAAACAAGCCTCCAATTAAATGCTTTCTCCTCTAGGAGTTGCTGAGGTCATGGTGTCTCTTCACAGCAACAGAACAGTGACTAAGACACCTGTATGGATGTGGGAGAACTTTGCACACAAAGATGTCCGTCACAGTGCTGTTTATAAATGCAAAACATCCCATCCTGATAACACTTCACTTGGGTTTATGTCCATACAGGGAAAGCTTACTGCTAATGAATATGAGGGTTACAAAGAATGTCAAAGTAGGCTGGATGTGTGGCACGTGCCTTTAATTCCAGCACTCTGGAGGCAGAGACAGGCAGATCTCTGTGAGTTCAAGAGGACAGCATGGTCTACAAATGGAGTTCTGGGACAGCCAGGGCTACAGAGAACCCTGTCTTGAAAAAAAAAAAAAGTGAAAGTACTTACAAAGAATGTGAAAAGGTAGGATATAGAGGGCTTTTAAAATAATTTTGATTCAGCACTCTGGAGGCAGAGGCAGGCAGATCTCTGTGAGTTCGAGGCCAGCCTGGTCTCCAGAGGGAGTGCCAGGATAGGCTCCAAAGCTACAGAGAAACCCTGTCTTAAAAAACCAAAAAAAAAAAAAATAATAATAATAATAATTTTGATTATATGTATGTTTATCTGTGTGTGGGTGTGTGCACATGAATGCAGATGTCCGGAAAAGCCAGAAGGGATTGAATCCCCTGCAGGGATGTTTTTACAGGTACTGTAAG